CTATTCACAGCCCAGCCTTGCTTTGTCACGGGTGTAATGAAGCCAGTGTGAATTCGCCAAAAGGGTACAGCTTTTGGCGAGTGGAGTAGGGACAAGTGAGAAGTTGCGATTGGACGATGGCGAGACAAGAGGGCATGCAATAGAAAGAGGAGTCTTTTGCCTCTTTTGACTGACAAGAGTCCTGTTGCGTCGGGATGAAAATAGCTTTTGCGAGTGCAATTCGATGGTGTCCTGAGGATGAGTCCTGCATCAACTCCCGTCATCACCTTCAGCAATTCCGGCTGTCTAAAGCTCTTTTATTAATATTCTTCTTTATAAGTAGTCGATTCTTCTTTATAAGTAGTATATTGTTTTAGCGAATATACTTTTGCTTCATTGACAATCTCATCAAAGAATGCGATTTGGCGAAAAATGGCCAGATTCTGCTTGCAATTTACATCCGCCCTGTGGCCCAAGTGTCGAGATTGTCATGGTTCGAGTCCCACTGGGAGAGTTGCTAAGAACCGAGCAAAGTGGAAGGTGCACTCCACCCCAGTCGAATGGTGAATGGAGACAAGCTGAGTTTTGCCCATCAGATTGTGGCAAAATTGAACTACCAGTCCCGTTTTATTAAACACAAAATTGCAAATGATGCGATATACTCGCTATGCTTGGCTTTCTGTATCTTTTGCAAATGATGTCTTCTCGCTCTAATCGTGTCTGTCGCGAATTGTCCAAAGTTGCCGGGCGATGAGCCAGCCGAGAACTTTCTGGCAAAATCTGACCTCTTCCATTCGGAGCGCGGTTTTCGTCGTCACGTTTCGATGAAGCGAGTCCCCGACGCGTTTCCTGCACATTTTTCCGTTGGAATATAAACAGTCAATTCGGCCCGACCCACTCACGAACGCTTCGACACTCAACTCTCCCGCATCTGGTCGTTCGTGTCGCCGACCGAGTCGCCGGTTCGTGTCCCAGTTGTCATGCCAACCCATGGCCTCGTCACTGTCCGATACAGATTTGTCCTTTTATCGTCTGCTCCTCGCACCTACCGGTCCGGCAGACAGTCGAGTCCGTCGAAATGGCACCGCGGCTGGTTGCAGGCCTCGTGGCAGACCCCGTCGCTGAACAGTGCGCCACAGTCCGCGGAGGTCGGTCGAGCCTCAGCTTGGCTGGCGCCACGGCAACTAGTCCACACTTTCTGTGCCGGACACAGTCGCTCCAGTTGCGGACCGGACAGACAGCCGCTCGTCAGGCAGT